TTAAATTTCTTGTTTAGTTGTTTACATCAACGTTTCTAAGCTTACTTTTGTTTTACTTTCGCGGATGATTGGATTTTGTTTTCTAATTTTTTCGTTTTTTCAGGATCTCTAAAATATTAAATTATCCTATCTAAATCTAGTATATAGAGATATGATCCAATTGAAACTACCTACAAAAATTTTCAATAATATAACTTGTAAGTTTATCTTTGACTTCTTTCATATTTGGTATGAAAATGATTGGTTTTTATATCTGCGTTCTTTTTATATCAAATCAAACATGCATCAAACGAAGAACTTTCGGTCTCTTTAAGAATATTGTATAGTTGTAAAATGCTTATGATCATCTTGTCACACAAACTCTATAAAATCGAAGAACATGATTATGTAACCATCCTTAATAATGTACCATACGTTGCCCTTCTTATAAAGCTTCAAAGAGTTTTTGCCAAGCCCAAAGCTATTATTTGGATCTTCTGTTTCAATCAAAACTATCAAACATCGATACAAGATTTGGAAGAACCAACTTTTCGATAGAGTAAGCAAATTTTTATCTCTCATTGCCTTCAACGTTTCCTCTATGACTATAGCACATCCTCATCTTTCTTAGAATCAATGCAAGTACGAGGCACGAGAAATCTTATAGATTTCTTCAATCTACAATAATATATCAAAAGCATTTTGTTCATAAACGCATGATGATCTAATAACAGTAGTTGAGGATTCGCTTTACTAATCAGCATAAGAATAAAACTATATTATATAAGGATTTTCATGTTGCTACGTTGATAATTCGTTTTGCTGATCGATAATGCGAATTTCGCAAAGTCATAAAAGACGAAAAGTCTTGAATTGAAGCATTAATAACTAAAAAAAGACTAATTTAATTTGTTTTTGTTTTCGACCGAAAATATTTATGAATTTATACTAGAACTTTTAACTTGATTAAAAAAAAAAAAATTCAAAAGTTTATTACACAAATATCCTCTGTTATTACGGAATGAGATTTTGTCCGTACTATCTAACTAAGCATGTAGGGCTATAAGCATGTGTGGTTGAAGCTTCGTTGTCCGATGTAATGTTTTTTTAGTTCAATGCTGATGTGGCCAACGACTTTAAATAAATAATAATTAAGGATCATCTCAAATTTTAATTTGTACTCTTTTTTGGTGGAAAGTTATTAATTTGTACTCTTGCGAGTTAAGTAAAACTAATATGTTTGTATTTTGAAGTTGTTTTCCCAACGTTCTAAAATCATCTCCAATATATTATTTTATTTTTTCTCTCCAAAATAGAGTAACTCTAAAATAGAGTTGAGTTTTACAACTTTACTTCAATGTATTATTCCATTTCTTACTTCAAAATTAATATTTTAAATATTTTTCTTTTGCTATTAATTATTAATTACTTATAATACACTTTATTTATAAAACTTACAAACTGACACTATTATTTTTTTGTTTCATAAATTTAGAATTGCAAAATTATGTTTTATTATATCAATTTACACATATATGTTTATTAACTTTAAAATATGCATTTTTAAGAATTAAATTCATAATAACATATATTAATTAAACATACATACACGTTTTTAACAAAAAAACTTACTC